ATGATCCAGAGGAGGCATGGGAGAAAGGCATGTGGTCAGATGAGACCAAAGTAGAACTTTTTGCTCTAAACTTCACTTGTCGTGTTTGGAGAAAAAAGAAGGATGAGTTGCATCCCAAGAACACCATCCCTACTGTGAAGCATGGGGGTGGTAACATCATGCTTTGGGGGTGCTTTTCTGCAAAGGGGACAGGACGACTGCACTGTATTAAGGAGAGGATGAAAGGGGCCATTTATTGTGAGATTTTGAGCAACAACCTCCTTCCCTCAGTCAGAGCATTGAAGATGGGTCGTGGCTGGGTCTTCCAACATGACAACGACCCGAAGCACACAGCCAGGATAACCAAGGAGTGGCTCCGTAAGAAGCATATCAAGGTTCTGGAGTGGCCTAGCCAGTCTCCAGACCTAAATCCAATAGAACATCTTTGGAGGGAGCTGAAACTCCTTGTTGCTCAGCGACAGCCCCGAAACCTGACAGATCCAGAGGAGATCTGTGTGGAGGAGTGGGCCAAAATCCCTGTTGCATTGCAAACCTGGTCAAGAACTACAGGAAACGTTTGACCTCTGTAATTGCAAACAAAGGCTTCTGTACCAAATATTAACACTGATTTTCTCAGGTGTTCAAATACTTATGTTCAGCAGTGCAAGACAAATAAATTCTTTAAAAATCGTACAATGTGATTTCCTGAATTTTTTTTTTTTAAATCAATATCTCAGAGTGGGAATGCACCTACAATGTGAATTTCAGACCCCTCCATGATTTCTAAGTGGGAGAACTTGCAAAATCGCAGGCTGTTCAAATACTTATGTTCCTCACTGTACAACTGCCCATACATGGATTGAAGTTTGGCTGGTCCCTGTTGACACGATCAAATTTTGATGCATGTATCTGTTCCATAGTTCTGATTGACTAAAGGGTCAATGTGCAGTAAGGCTAGCCCTACATCAAGCAATTTCCTTTCTTTCAACCACAGGTTGAAAGAAAGAAAATTACTCGATTCTCAAGTGTTGATTGGGGAATCCCTCCTGCTGCGCTTTTGTATCCTGACAGCAGCCCCCCCCCACCCCCGTCAGAATATAATGATTACTGTTGCAAATTATAGCTGGTGGCAGTAATCGTACAAAAAAAAGCCAACAGTCTAGTTGTACTAAAGTCAATCGATTGGTTGACTTCAGTACAACTAGCCTGCCCATAGAAGGAACGAAATTCAAACAATTCCTGCTAAACTGGTAGAATTTCTCTCCGTCTATGGCCAGCTTTACAAAATGGCAACCTAGAGGTGTTCCATACACTGTATACACTGTATTGCCAAAAGTATTGGGACGCCCGCCTTTACATGCACATGATCTTAAATGGCATCCCAGTCTTAGTCTGTAGGGTTCACTATTGAGTTGGCCCCGCCCTTTGCAGCTAGAACAGCTTCAACTCTTCTGGGAAGGCTGTCCACAAGGTTTAGGAGAGTGTCTATGGGAATATTTGACCATTCTTCGAGAAGCACATTTGTGAGGTCAGTGTTATGATCCGCCAGGTGGTGCTGCTGGCTGCCCACTTGACAGACCTGCCCAAAGCGTGGAGTCTAAGTCCCGGTCTGTGCTTTCACCAGGGCCCCTGATGGTGGGGATGGACTTGAAACAGACCAGGACCAGGTCACGACCTCTGAGCAGGCCCACCAGTGGCAGGGGGAACCTCTGGGGATGTATTGGTACCGGAAGAGCCAGATGTGAGGAGGACGGCAGGGCCCAGCAGGATAGATTGCGAGCAGTGGTCCCGTGGGAGAGGCGTGGTACAGAATCGGCAGGCGGAGAATCGTCAGGTCACTCGCAGGGTCAGCAGGAGAAGTCAGTCCGTAGATAGGTTTAACAAGCCGGGGGTCAGGATGGGAGAGAGTAGAGTAGTCAGGACAATCCGGGTCAAAATGCGGGAGAGAGTAGAGTAGTCAGGACAATCCGGGTCAAAATGCAGGAGAGAGTAGAGTAGTCAGGGTCAATCAGGATCAAAAACTCAGGTACAGGATACAGGAACTCAGAAGACCTTGCGGCAATCAGTGACAGTGCAGGGCATCTTTAAATATTGCGCCCTGCACTGTCATTGGCCGCCCAGGACGCGCCCCCCGGCTGTCATTGGTCGCTCGAGGCGCGCCCCCGGCTCCCACTGCGCATGCGCGGCGTCCTGTCATCCGCGGCTCGCCGGGACCTAGTGCTTGTATCCCGGCGTGAGCCGTTGCCAGCGCGCATGCGCCGGCCGACAGGACTAGAGATGAGCGAATCGAACCAGGCGAACCGGAATTTGATACGAATTTCAGGAAAAATTCGATTCGCGTCGAATCCGAAATTTTGCCTACTTCGGGTGCGCGAATCGAAATTTTCCCGATCAGCCGGCAAAAGTGTCCCTGCAGAGAGCTCCGCTATTTCTGATATTTCTCTGACAGTTCCTTCACATGTACAGCGGTTGAAACATTGTATCTATTAGTTTCCATTTAGGATACAGATGTTTCAACCGCTGTACATGTGAAGAAGCTGTCAGAGAACTGTCAGAAATAGAGGAACTCTGCACATACACTTTTTGCCGGCTTGGAATTATTCTTATTTTCATCCTACTTCTTCTTCTTCTTCATCCTCATCCTCATCCTCTTCTTCTTCTGAGGATGAGGATGAGGATGAAGAAGAAGAAGTAGGATGAAAATAAGAATAATTCCAAGCCGGCAAAAAGTGTATCTGCAGAGCTCCTCTAAGTGTATCTGCAGAATAGAGGAGCTCTGCAGATACAATTTTTGCCGGCTTGGAATTATTCTTATTTTCATCCTACTTCTTCTTCTTCTTCTTCTTCTTCTTCTTCATCCTCATCCTCATACTCTTCTTCTTCTTCTGAGGATGAGGATGAAGAAGAAGAAGAAGAAGAAGAAGAAGAAGTAGGATGAAAATAAGAATAATTCCAAGCCGGCAAAAAGTGTATCTGCAGAGCTCCTCTATTCTGCAGATACACTTAGAGGAGCTCTGCAGATACACTTTTTGCCGGCTTGGAATTAATCTTATTTTCATCCTACTTCTTCTTCTTCTTCTTCTTCATCCTCATCCTCAGAAGAAGAAAGAAGAGTATGAGGATGAGGATGAAGAAGAAGAAGAAGAAGAAGAAGAAGTAGGATGAAAATAAGAATAATTCCAAGCCAGCAAAAATTGTATCTGCAGAGCTCCTCTATTCTGCAGATACACTTAGAGGAGCTCTGCAGATACACTTTTTGCCGGCTTGGAATTAATCTTATTTTCATCCTACTTCTACTTCTTTCTTCTTCTTCATCCTCATCCTCATAAGAAGAAGAAGAGGATGAGGATGAGGAAGAAGAAGAAGAAGAAGAAGAAGAAGAAGAAGTAGGATGAAAATAAGAATAATTCCAAGCCGGCAAAAAGTGTATCTGCAGAGCTCCTCTAAGTGTATTTGCAGAATGTCATTTATGGAAAAAAATAGATACAATGTTTCAACCGCTGTATGGAGTGAATGTCCCAGAACTGTCAGAAATAGACAGAAACTGTCACAGAACTGTCCTTCTTCTCATCCTTCTGCTTCTTCTCATCCTTCTTCTCATCCTTCTTCTCATCCTTCTCCTTCTTCTCATCCTTCTCTTTCTTCTCATCCTTCTCCTTCTTCTCATCCTTCTCCTTCTTCTCCTTCTTCTCATCCTTCTTCTCATCCTTCTCCTTCTTCTCATCCTTCTCCTTCTTCTCATCCTTCTCCTTCTCCTTCTTCTCATCCTTCTCCTTCTTCTCATCCTTCTCCTTCTTCTCATCCTTCTCCTTCTTCTCATCCTTCTTCTCATCCTTCTCTTTCTCCATCTTCTCATCCTTCTCCTTCTCCTTCTTCTCATCCTTCTCCTTCTGCTTCTCCTTCTCCTTCTTCTCATCCTTCTCCTTCTCATCCTTCTCCTTCTTCTCATCCTTCTCCTTCTTCTCATCCTTCTCCTTCTCCTTCTCTCATCCTTCTCCTTCTTCTCATCCTTCTTCTCATCCTTCTCCTTCTTCTCATCCTTCTCCTTCTTCTCATCCTTCTCCTTCTTCTCATCCTTCTCCTTCTTCTCATCCTTCTCCATCTTCTCATCCTTCTCCTTCTCCTTCTTCTCATCCTTCTCCATCTTCTCATCCTTCTCCTTCTCCTTCTTCTCATCCTTCTCCTTCTCCTTCTCCTTCTCCTTCTTCTCATCCTTCTCCTTCTTCTCATCCTTCTCCTTCTCCTTCTTCTCATCCTTCTCCTTCTCCTTCTCCTTCCTCATCTCCAAGGGCATTTAAATTAAAGGTACAGTGTTCTGCACTAATTTAAAGGCTCTCTGAAGCCTAGAAACCCTTTTTATAAGTCATCTTCGTAGCGAATAAATTCGCATCGAATCGAATTTCTTCCTGAAATTCGCCGAATCAGCCGAATCGAATTTTTGAATACTTCGCTCATCTCTAGACAGGACGCCGCGATCCCTGACAGTCAGGCACTGATGTTGGATGAGAAGGCCTGGCTCTCAATCTCCGCTCTAATTCATCCCAAAGGCGTTCTATCAGGTTGAGGTCAGGACTCTGTGCAGGCCAGTCAAATTCCTCCACCCCAGACTTTCTCATCCATGTCTTTATGGACCTTGCTTTGTGCACTGGTGCGCAGTCATGTTGGAACAGGAAGGGGCCATCCCCAAACTGTGCCTACAAAGTTGGGAGCATGAAATTGTCCAAAATGTCTTCGACTGCTGATTCCTTAAGAGTTCCCTTCACTGGAACTAAGGGGCCAAACCCAACCCCTGAAATACAGCCCCACACCATAATCCCCCCTCCACCAAACTTTACACTTGGCACAATGCAGTGACACAAGTACCATTCTCCTGGCAACCGCCAAACCCAGACATGTCCATCGGATTGCCAGACAGAAAAACGTGATTTGTCACCCAAGAGAACACATCTCCACTCTAGAGCCCAGTGGTGGCGTGCTTTACACCATTGCATCGGACGCTTTGCATTGTACTTGGTGATGTAAGGCTTGGATGCAGCTGCCATGGAAACCCATTCCATGAAGCTCTCTATGCACTGTTGTTGTGCTAATCTGAACGCCACATGAAGTTTGGAGGTCTTTAGCTATTGACTCTGGAGACAATTGGTGACTTCTTGTCAAGGTCCTACCTTTTCCCTGAGGTTATGTTACTCCATGTGCTGGCGTCCATCTTGGATTCTGCTGTGCATGATGGGAATCCTTTTATGCCTTCAGGTTTCTGTGGTCCATCCCCCAGAGGGGTGTGGCTGATGACATATAAGCCTGTGGCCCGCACATGCTCTTTGCACTTGTGTCTTGTGTCTTGGTGTTGCTATTACTCTGTTCTGACTCTTGTGACTCTCCTGGTATTCTGATTCGGCTTGTGACTTGACTATTCTTTGTATTCTCCTTTGATCTGATCCTCTGTTGCTGAACCCGGCTCGTGACCTGTGATTCTCGTCTGCTGTCCTGTACCGTTTTGTCCTGTTGTTGTTGACCCCGGCTTGTCTGACTACTCTTTTGTCTCTTCCACCAGTTACACGCCATTGGCGGCGGCCATTACCGCAGCTGAGGTGTCTCGGGGGCCGTGACCTGGTTCCTGGCTGCGTCAAGTCCATCCCCACCATCAGGGGCCCTGGTGAAGGACAGCCTGGGACTTAGACTCCGCGCCCTGAGGGACTTCGGTCTGTGGGTGGTGGTTGTCGTCAGCCAGTGCGTTACATTGTTAGGCCTGCCTGTCCGTTCCTCAGCTCCTGCCCTGACACTTCTGCACACTTCAGCATGTGCTGACCCCTCTCTGTCATTTTACATGGCCTGCCACTTGGTGGCTGAGTTTGCTGTTGTTCCCAGTTGCTTCCACGTTGTTATAATACCACTAGCAGTTGACTGTGGAATATTTAGTAGCCAGGAAATGTCATGGATGGACTTATTGCACAGGTGACAACCTATCACAGTACCACGCTTGGAGTCACTGAGCTCCTGAGAGCGACCCATTCTTTCACAAATGTTTGTAGAAGCAGTCTGCATGCCTAGGTGCTTGATTGTATACACCTGTGGCCATGGAGGGGATTGGAACACCTGAATCCAATTATTTGGAGGGCTGGCCCAATACTTTTGGCAATACAGTGTATATACAGAACTATTATAGAGATACGTATATTTTCTGCTTGTGTGATTGGCTCACTCTGCACTGGGCTACAAGTCATATTGCAGTCATCCCCTGCAATAAGAGTTCTGTTTTCTTTGCCTATCCTACCTGGAGAACATACTTCGAGGTTCTGGGGCTCAGAGTAATTTGCCCATCTTTCAAGCCAGATAATCAATGAGTGTATCACATGTAAGGGGAACCACTCATTTCAAACATGATTTAGTTCTTGTTTTGTCCATAAAGTGGATCTTCTACCTCAATTGGAAGCTCCACTGTATACATTTGGTGCCTACTCAAGGGTGACGTCATCATGCTTCAGGTGGGATCTGGGGAATGTAGAGTTCGACATCATTGGAGTATCTCCCCTGCATCACAGAAAGCAGAGGAGAGGTGAGTATAGAATCTTATTTCCCCCCCACAGGTATTTTTTTAATCTGATTTTTTCATTTCAGCATATTGGAGGGGAGGGGGGGGGGCAAACAAAAACAGCAGACCCTGTGCTACATACAAGGTCCTCTTAAAAGGTGAGCTCTAGCAGATATAAAAGACAAAAAAGTGATACAACACTCTATTCATTGATACATAATTTTTTTTTTTTTTTTAAATTCAAGCACTATAGGTACCTAAATTTGACTTGGAATTAGCCCCTTGCAGTCCATGTATAGCAGAGTGTAAAATGGGAGAGGGAGAGTGTAAAATGGGAGTACAAGGAGCCAGTCAGTTGTGCTGTGGTGATCACGTGCTAACAAGGAGCATGCTCATTGGAGGAGAAAGCAAAATGACAGAGGAATGAGATCATCAGTCTTCTGCTTCTCCTATCAGTGTCCAATCACAGATTAGGGATAGGACAAGATTTATGACTGAACTGCAGAAAAATCAGGTTACATGTCTTGAAAGATAAGGCTGTTCTGTGGGAAAGCTTTATAAATGATTAACTTAACACAACTTTGAGCTGCTGAAGATTTTACCCCCTTCATGACAGGCCATTTTTTGCTATACGACGCAGTGCTACTTTAACTGCCAATCGCACATTTGTGCAACGCTGTACCCAAATTACGTATAGATATTTTCACACAAATAGAGCTTTCTTTTGGTGGTATTTTATTGTCACTGGGTTTTTATTTTTTGTGATATAAATGAAAAAAAGAATGAAGATTTTGAAAAAAATTTATTTTTTACTTTTTGCTATAAGACATATTCAATAATTCAATAAAAAAATTAAAACAAATCTAATTTCTTTATACATTTTGACCAAAACGTATTCTGATACATGTCTTTGATAAAAAAAAAAAAAATTATTAGGTACACCTGTTCAATTGCTTGGTAACACAAATTGCTAATCAGCAGGGGCAGACTGACAACTCATAGGGCCCCTGGGCAATAGGGGATCATGGGGCCCCTGTGTCCTTGCCCAAACTCAAAAAAGCCTATGAAAAAGGTACCAGGGGCATCTCATGGGGCCCCCTACTGACCCCGGGCCCTCGGGCAGTGCCCGAGTTTCCAAATGGTCAGTCCGCCCCTGCTAATCAGCCAATCACATGGCAGCAACTCAATGCATTTAGGCATCTAGACATGGTGAAGACAACTTGCTGAAGATAAAACCGAGCATCAAAATGGGACAGAAAGGGGATTTAAGTTACTTTGAACATGGCGTGGTTGTTGATGTCAAGCAGGCTGGTGTGGGTATTTCAAAAATTGCTCGTCTGCTGGGATTTTCACAAACAACCATCTTTAGGGTTTACAGAGCATGGTCCGAAAAAGAGAAAATATCCAGTGAGCGGCAGTTGTGTGGAGAAAATGCCTTGTTCATGTCAGAGGAGAATTTGGCGTACACAACATGAAAGCATGGATCCATCCTGTCTTGTATGAATGATTCAAGCTGGCGGTGGTGATGTAATGATGTGGGGGATATTTTCTTGGCACTAGTAAGGTGTGCCTAAAAAAGTGGCTGGTGAGGGTATATTGATTGGTTTGCATGAAAGTACAAACTGTGGTATATATACTGGATTTTTTTTTCTTTATGTACTAGAAATGGCATTGATCAGCGACTCACAATGGGAATGCGATTGTGCGGCGGCCCCAGTTAGATGCTGGGGAAACTGACTAACTGCCACTGAATTACCAGTGACACTAATACAGTGCTCAGTGATAATACTTATACACTGCTACTGTACTAATGACACTGGCTGATAAAGGGTTTAAGATCTAGAGTGATCAAGGGGTTAAATGGGTGCCTAACAATATGTAATATGTGTAAAGTGCACTGCTTTTTACTAATGATCTCTTAGAAACACAGAGATTGTTCCCTCGTACAGAGCTCTGTGTTGGTGGTCAACACAGGGCCCTTCGCTGTCATTGTACAAAGCTGATCAGCAGGTCCTAGCCATAAAATCATCGGCCTTGCTGATAGGCTCTCGCAGGTGCTAGCCGGGGGCATGGCTGAAACCTGGAAGTGACAGTACATTGCAGGCGGGCAGGTGCTAAATGGTTAAAACTAAATTCTATTCATCAATGTTCTCTTCATTGTAAAAATTTGACTGGCAAAGTGAAACTGAATGGCTGGTTATGGTTTACCTTAAGGGTAGTTTCACACCTGTGCAGGTTGCGTTTGACCCGCTTCTGCATTGCGTTTTGCTTTGCATTTTTGATGCATTTTTTTTTTCTTTTTCTTCTTGCTAGGCAGATTTTAAATGCAAAACCCATCATAAACGCAGCAAAAATGCAGCAAAAACACAGCAAAAACACACTACATGCTTTTCTGCAGTGTTTCCATTGAAGTCTATAGAGCCAAAAATGCAACTTTTTTGTGTTCAAAAATATACCTGATCCTTTCAAAAAAACACAGAGATGTGCCATAGGAAATCATTTAAATGGACTTTGGAATGGAATTTCTGCAAAATGCTTTGTAACTATTTCTAATCCTTATGCTCCTAGCATTAGTAAATAGAAAGGACAGTATATCATATATACTTGTTTTATTTATTTATTTTTTATATTTTCTCAGTGACTTCCTGATTTCCTGCCTAGGCAAATGATGTCATACATCCCAGGAATCTTCAGGAGGGGATTTTTCAAAGTGATTTCTCAGCAAAATTAAGCACGGAGACATGGATGGATGGATGGATGAGTTTGCTGTGAATATAAAAATTAATTAAATTGTGTTTTTGATTTGTGGTTCTCAGATGCAATGTATTTCCACTTTCAACAACACATTTCATTGAAACATTATGGAAATACCAGGTTGGTGGCTCATTCCTTTAAGTGAAAAGTAGAAAATGCCATTCCTAAAGCTCGTGGTGTATTCTGAAAATGTTCATGCTGAGCTAATACAAGTTAAAACGGTTAACCTCTTCATGCCGGCCGAACACAAATGTGCGACCTCTAGACGTCGAGTGGCCGCACATTTGCGTTCTATTAAAAAAGAACATATGTGCTGAGAGTGCGCGCCCTGCGCGCTCCCTGCACACGTCCGGTACTCATGGAAAGGTCCCGATCTCCTCTTTCGATCAGGACTTTTCCCGATCATGTGACCACGTGTCAGAGCGGTCACATGACCCTAAACCCCGCCCCACCTCCCGGCTTCTGAAACCCTTAAAGGGTCGGGAGGCGCCAGCGTGAAGGGGTTAAGTTACCCTAAGTTCACACCTAAGCATTTTCTGCAGCATTTTGCAGTAACACAGTACGGTCCATTTAACATGATTTCTTATGGGACATATTCACATCTGTACATTTTAACCCAGTTTGTGTTTTGGAAAGGGTCAGGGACTTTTTTAAACGCAAAAAGTTGCTTTTTTGTTTTTATAGACTTTAATGGAACTCACTACCCAATCCATCAGACTGTCACCTACCCTCCTCACCTTTAGGAGCACCCTGAAAACCCATCTCTTCAGGGAAGCCTACCCCGCCCTCACCTAACTGACGATCTCATCCACTCCTCCTACCACTCCATCCCCATAGCCATTTCCTCCTGTACCACTATCCCCTCCCTCCTAGATTGTAAGCTCCAAGGAGCAGGGCCCTCGAACCCCTCGGTTTATTGTATTGTTACTGTACTGTCCCATGTTCTGTCCCCCACTATAATGTACAGTGTTGAGCAAACTATTGGCGCTATTTAAATACTGTATAATAATAATAATACTTGATGGTGTCAACCCTCTGGTGGGTGATGACGCCACTGACTTTAATGCAGAGATGCATTAAAGTGGACCTATTCTCAGTTCCGTGATGCGCTCTCCCGGCTGCAGACATCTTTAGGCAGCTAGCTTCCGGGTCATTGGCCAGTCGTGGATCACATCACTCCCGCACATGCGCGGGAGTTCTGACAAATTCAGCACTGCCGAACTTGCACAGTAAGCTGCGCCTGCGCGGCTCACTGTACAGGGGTTGACAGGCAAGTAGACAAAGCACGTCTCTTCTGCATTAAAAATCCTGCCTGTCCACCCATTTTTTTATTTTTCACCTAAAGTTCCACTTTAAGTTAAAAAAAACATAGGCCTATACAACCACAATACATCAACCTATACATCTATGGATAGGTTGGTGGTACTGAGTCGATCGGTGAATCAACCAGCCTGTCAGATTTTTGTCACCACAGCATAGTATTCTGCTGGTGAGAGGCTCCCTGCGCTCCCCTCCAGCAGGACACAATAGCGCTGTGGGAGGGATTCCCCCATCAACATTGACTTAGTTTTTGGGGAAATCGAGCAATTTTCTTTCCTTCAAGAATATTGCATAATCTATGGCCAGTGTTGATCATCTTCCTTACCAACCGATCACCGACTGCTGCCCCTCTCTGCCAATCTCTTCACTGGCTTCCACTAACCCAATGTATAAAATTCAGAATACTAACCACAGCTTACAAAGCCATCCACAACACTGCCCCTAGCTACATCACCAACCTCATCCACAGATACCGCCCAAATTGTCCACTCCGGTCCTCCCAAGATATCTTTCTCTTTAG